CAGAAAGGAATTGAAAATCTTTTCTAAATCAGTTTTCAATGTTGATTCAGAAAATATAGTTCGAACCTTCCATCTTACAATACAAGCTCAAAACGTCAATTTCATCATACAGGACGGTTTGGGGTATTTTTGAGGTCCTCTCAGTAATTTGAGTTTTTCTCCATGAAGAAGTGGCTTTTGGGGACTCGGAAGGTGTTATTCGTAATTAGCTCGTTAAGCTGAATCTGAATATACATAATAATGCCAAAAAAAGTTTCACTTGAAGTTTGCATTACGTGTATCTTACTTGAAAAATTGATCATTTTGATGTTTCTTGGTTAGTTTCGTATAGCTACTCACTTTTGCATTTTGTACTAAAGAGCTAATACCGTTTGTTTTATTCTATGTAAAAGATGTAACTTAGAAATACAAAAACGTTGTATCGAAAATATTGAAAGACATATTCGTTCTCACGCATCGGTTACACTTTTTGATGGAAAAATCATTGTTAAAATTTAAAGGCATTTATAATGACGAAAAAAAACAAAAATGAATAAAAAAATTTTTCTTACCATGATAAGTACTAGTGCGTTGAAAAAAAGTAAAATTAACAAATAAGAATAACAAGATAGAGTTTATTGTGTAATTAACAAATAAAAAAACAATTGTAGTCCAAATAATGAGATCAAGAAATATTATGTGGCAAACAATTTTGATCTAAAGTCTAAATATTTTTGAAATCTCATTTTTCCATATTCTTTATAATCAAAGTTGACTGTTGAAACATTTGCTTGAACAAATGCCCACAAAGCCCAAAACAGATGTGACAATGCCGCAAATTTATCAATTAAATCACAAATATCATCTAAATCTTTATCATTTTTTTGTGTCAGAAATGTTGCATATTTAAAATATGTTTTTAACCAAACATGTTGATGTTCTCTAGATGGATAACGATCAAAATCAGGATTATCTACTCCAGCATATTCAATAAAATGATTTGCTACATCATATATCCAATAATTGTATTGTACATATTCAAAATCGATAAACGATATATCGTCGTTACTTTTATCATAGATGATATTTTTACATAATAAATCATTATGACACAAAACCAAATCTACAGCTAAATGGGGTAATATTTGATTTTCAATTTGAACTATATCGCTGGAAATATCGGACCATTTATACGAATTTATTGCAAATGAATCACTTGATAATAAATTTAAAAAATTTTTCAAACCTATAAAAGTGAAAAATTACTGTGATGGACAAAAAGATGTTTGAACTCTCACCCTTTCGACGAATCAACATCCGTCCAGACTTCTAAGTCATCAGCTATCGTATTCAGATACTCAGCCTAAAGACATCATTTGACATTAGCGTAGGTAAATGTATTGCCAGAAAGTTTTGATACACTGAATGTCAGAAGTTATTCGACTAACAGAGCAACGCTTCTTGTCGCCTTAATAATATTTTTGCATGATTGTTATGCATATTAAGTCCAGAATATATAATAGAAAGGATTACTCTTATAGTTACTTAGGCTTGTCTCTCTATGTATCTCACATAAGCGTTTACTCATTATTGTTGGATTTTCGATATCATGCCACAGTTAGCTTTCAAACTTTGATTAAACAATCTGCAGACACGCTACATATATATTTGATAAGAGTTTTTAATCATAAGAATATTCCTCGGGTAAACATCTGAATATTTTTTAAAATGGATCTTGAATTTCAAAAGTGGCTGTCAAGCATAAAAATGCTGTATGTCAGCAATAGGGGCGTTAATTTATTGTAACTTTAGAAAATAAATATAAATGAATCATTTACTTTTATAAAATAAAGATAAATTCGTCATTTATATTTAAAAAATAAATATAAATAAATGAAAAAAAAAATTATCTTTATTTTATAAAAGTAAATGATCCATTTACATTTATTACTTTATTTCTACCTTTATTTTCTAAAGTAATGGTAAAAATAAAGAAAGAAATATAAATGAATCATTTACTTTTATAAAATAAAGATAATTTTTTTTTTCATTTATTTATATTTATTTTTTAAATATAAATGACAAATTTATCTTTATTTTATAAAAGTAAATGATTCATTTATATTTATCCATTATTATAAATGAACAATAAAACTAAAGTAACGCCTCTAGTCAGCAGCGCCATCAAAAATCAACATTTTAAACTAATACGGTAAACATATATCAAAGTCAAGGCCGTTGAAAGAACTTACATGCCAATAACAACAGGTCAACGGATATTTTGATAAGAAAATAAAATGTTCAATTCGATTGAATCAGAAACTATCCAGTTAAAGAGGTTTACACTTGTTGGGTGGTCGAGTACGCCGACATCCACACAGTTCTAAGTCACTATCATGATAGACATAAGAGTTTGGATACTGTTGCTCAGTGGTGTAGAAGAGTGTGTATTCTCAATTACATGTAACATTAGATATTACCTGAAACGAGAAATGGTTCCAAGCCTTGTTCTATTTGTAATTGTTCACGCGTTAGTGAATGAAGATGCGCTATTTTTTTTGCTATTAATTCTGATATATGTAAATCGGCTACCATGTCACGATCACATGCTTGTCCCGGTGTGTAAGAATAAATAAGACCATTTTTAAATTTTACAAGTATTTCATTTGACAATTGATACTTGGCAAGTTGTTTCATGGCTATTGATTCATTTTCACGATTAATAAACAGTTCGCTGTTAAGGCCGAATATTTTGATGATGATGGCTTGAAATTCATTAATGATTTTCTTTGTTTGAGGATCAATTTCAAACATACCAGTGATTGTATTTGTGATTCCTTCGGTAAAAATTTTCAATTGAGTATTTGCTGGGGTCCATTGAGGACGAATTGAGGCCAGCAACTGAAATATGTCCGTGTCTAATGTTGAATGTTTAAGAGAAATATCTGAATACATTGAGGCGAAATCAAATGCTTAATGACGATGTTTTATAGTAGAATAAACAAAATAGTACCAGCAACTAAATGGAAAATCTGGAGTTAGGAGCAATATAATACAAAACCGGCGTCTGATTCGCGCTAGTAATTTATTATAGGTGTATCTTGCTTAACTGTACATTCAACTAACGAGGAAAGATCCCCCGTGTGCAATCGCTTTTTGCTTGAAATCTAGTGGACAATAGGTAATCGACTGTGCTAAATCCGAATCTAACATCGGTTTATGCTGCTAGGCCTCCAGAGATCGGGTTTCTGTAAAAACAGGTTTTCAGAAACTCTAAAAAATAACCAAAGCCCTTCTTAATGAGGCATGATTGTAGACCGCAAATTTCTGATTAAAATGAGACATCTCCCAGCTCTACACCACCTTTCTTTGTAAAGTTATAGAATTTAGAAGAAAAGTCCTAAACGTTCATTGTCAGCTCAAAGCTACAGAAATAAGAAGAAATTAATTTAAGGCTTTTCTTCTAAATTCTATAACTTTACGCTGAATTGCCATTAATAACTTATTTTCGATAGGAAATGGGAATGGAACTTTTTTTCCAATATGCCCAATCCGTAGAGTTCAACGAGCTGATCAAGAATAGGTGCGAAGGAATGCTTGAACGTAAAAATAACCGTTACTTTTTATCAAAAAACCACTTCGGATCTAACCTTTGCTATCTGTCACGGTATTCCGCTTTTTTCTCTACCATTCAGGCTTTACTTACAAACCATTCCTTCAAAAAAGCGAAATGCCGTGACAGATTCGGGGTGTTAATTTAGTGTTACTTTGGAAAATAAATGTAAATGAATCATTTATACTTAAAAAATAAAGATAAATTCGTTATTTATATTTAAAAAATAAATATAAATAAATCATTTACTTTTATAAAATAAAGATAAATTTTTTTTTGATTTATTTATATTTATTTTTTAAATATAAATGACGAATTTATCTTTATTTTTTAAGTATAAATGACGAATTTATCTT